AAGTGGAACATCATAAAGGTCTTTGTCATCTTCATGTTGAGTGGGTTGAGTGGACTGAGGAGAAGGAGTTCGAGGGTTTGGTCTTGCTGTCTCAGGTGGCAGAGGCAGAAGATAGAGAGGAAGGAGGGGCAGGCATACTCACTGTAAATTTTATTGAAAATAATCTATGTATAAGTGGACACATGCACTTTGAACATGCATTTTAAAGCAGTGTTGTTCAAATGTTAACTGTATTTACTTTTTTACTATTAACTAAACTACAGACTTTATTTGGATTTCACCAGTTTTCCCACTAATGTCCTTTTTCTTTTCCAGTGTAAAATACTATGTTGCATTTAGTCCTCATGTCTCCTGTCTCTTCCAATCTTCGATAGTTTCTGAATGTTTTATTTTTCATAACCTTTAAAGATTTATTTTTGAAGAGTACTGGTTAGGTATTTTGTATAGTATTTATCCATTTGAGTTTGATGCTTTTTAAAGAAATTATGTTAATAAACACATAATATATGACCAGGCACAGTGGCTCATACCTGTAATCCCGGCACTTTGGGAGGCTGAGGCGGGAGGATCACTTGAGGTCAGGAGTTCAAAACCAACCGGGCCAACATGGCAAAACCCCGTCTCTACTGAAACTACAAAAAATTAGCTGGCTGTCCTGGCACACACCTGTAGTCCCAGCTACTCTGGAGACTGAGGTAAGAGAATCACTTGAACCCAGGAGGCTGAGGTTGCAGTGAGTGGAGATGGCACCACTGTACTCCAGCCAGGTGACAGAGTGAAAATCTGTCTCAAAAAAAAAAAAGTAATATAAAATTTACCATCTTAATCATTCTTAATGTACAGTTCAATTGTGTTAACCTATATTCACTGTTGTATAACAGGTCTCTAGAACTTTTTCGTCTTGCATATGGGAAACTCTGTACCCATTGAACAACTTCCCATTTCTCTTTCCCCACAGCCCCTGGAAACCACCATTCTACTTTCTGTTTACATGATTTTGCCTACTCCAGATATCTCATATGAGTATAAGTAGAATATATGAGTATATGAATATAAGTGGAATCATAAGTTATTTGTATTTTTGCGATGGGCTTATTTTACTCAGCATAGTGTCCTTAAAGTTTATTCATGTTGTAGCATGTGACAGAATGTCCTTTTTAAGGGCTGAATAATATTCTATTGTATGTAGATAACATTTTCTTTATCCATTCATCTGTTGATGGACATTTGCTTCTACCTCTTGGCTATTATGAGTAATGCCACCATGAACATTGGTGTGCAAATATCTCTTTGAGATCCTCTTTTGGATATATAACCAGAAGTGTAATTGCTGGATCATATGGTAATTCTACTTTTATTTATTTTTTTTTTGGAGGAACCTCAAACTGTTTTCCATAGTGTCTGTACCACTTTGCATGTATACCAGCAGTCCACAGAGTTCTAATTCTTGCCAATACTTGCTGTTTTGTTTTTTTGATAGTGGCCATCCTAATAATTGTAAGGTTATATCTCATTGTGGTTTTGATTTGCATTTCTCCAGTGATTAGTGGTTGAGCATTTTTTCATATTTTTTTGGCCATTTGTGTCTCTTCTTTGCAGAAAATCTGTTCAGAATAGACATTTCTCTAGGTGTGATCATTGCTGCTATAGTGTTACTGTTTTTAGGCCTTCTTGTCTGATTGAGTTAGGAAATATGTAATTATACTCACCCATGTATACATGCATTGGTATTTATTTCTATCATCTTACGTATTTACCAGATAGATGCTTTTAACAGTTTAGTTATATCTAAATTGAAAACATTTTGAAAGGACTTTCTACTTCTTATCCCATGTTTTGGATGGATGTTATATATAAATGGTTGATTCAGAATGCTGTGGGAATTTCCACTGGTATCGCTACTTCTCATTACATGCTGCACCTTTGTGTAAAGTTTTACATAAAACATCTTTTTAGCCAGATTTACTTAATAGAGTAATATAATAATTTCCAAAATAAAGTATTTAGGTCCTAAGTCTAGGGGCCACACGTTTAGTCTAGTCACTGTTTTCTTTTTTTCTTTTAATGCTATCATTGCTGAAATAAGTTATATATACCCATTCTTGCATGAGAGAAATTCCTATAACTTTGAATCTTTCTCCTACTTTTAAGCTTTAATATTAACCTCAAGGGATCTAAGAGTGTGTGTGTGTGTGTGTGTGTGTGTGTGTGTGTGTGTGTTTAAAAAGTTGTCATTTTACAAAAAGCCTACAGGCTTTAACACTTAAGGCATAGGCCAAAACTTTCAAATTCTTTGCTTTTGCAAGCCTTTTCTTAATAGATTTGAATAGATCAAAATGTCTTTAGTTGCCACCGAAGCCTATATGATCCTTAGAAATTTTTCTTTTTCTTTCTTCCTTATTTCTTTTTACTTTTTTATACCTACAAAGCTGTGAGAAGCTACAGATGACTAGGATTTCGTGAAATTTAAAATTCATCTAAAATGAGACAGTCTGTGAAAATGGACATTTGTCTTCTAAGTTTAGTTAGAATGTGTGTAAGAATATTTTCTGCCTAAGAAACTTTCTTTTGCTATGTTTTACCATATAATATGTTTTAAGGGATACATTTTAAAAAATCACAAAACGTATTTTTGTCCAGGTAGACAATATAATATACTATACATAATAACAGCCATAAATTTGAAAAAAACTCCATAAACAACTTATGGCCTTTTTAGAATTGCAATTGACTGTGGTAATAGCAATGAGTGATTTTTAAATTACAGTATGCAAAAATGCATTAGCATTTTATTTTGCCTTCATAATATTAGGCCCAAGTGTCCTATAAATGTTTAAATTAATAGATTTAAATTTTGTCCTAAGTACTTTTATTACAACATTATTCTGTAATATTTCCATTATAGGTAGACAGTATTTTCATTGCATTTGATAAATAAGGATTCATGGACTGTTCTGGCAACTTAACTATTATTCTTTATTTTTAATTTTTTTCATGGAGAGAGGAAGAGGGTATGGAGAGTGGGCCAGTCTGTGTTACCAATTACTTGAGTAGGCTTTTGTAGTTTTCCCTTGAGGAAAAGACCCTGAGTGGGGAAACTGGTGGTATGCCTGAGGTTCTCCAAGTCTCCTCCAAATGTTTTGCTGGTTTCCTTCTCCTTCAGCATCAGCTTTCCATGGGTATAAAGTCTGGATCCTTGCCTCCTTCCTTTGCCCAGAACAGACACAGGTCCCCAGGGTAAAAGTGGCTATAGAGGTCAAATCACTTCTTCCAATTTTTTTTCGTTTTCAGAATCCCAGTCCCTTCAAACAGATGACTTCTGTATCCTGCATTTTAGATGGCTTTTCTAGTTCTGGGTGGGATTGCTGGTCTGCTGTTAGCTTTTGCATCTCATCCAGAAGCAGAAGTTTCCCGCTTCTTTCCAGCCCCCAGATGACCTGTTAAGAAATCTGGTTGTTAGATTTACAAGAGTCTGGATTTTATCCCTGTGGTATCATTTAATATGTTCTGTCCTCTATATTTCCTATAAACTAGCAGTAACATGTAAAGTGTTGATCAGATTAAGATGACAGATGATGTTTATGGTTCTTTCAGGAGGTACTGTTTTTTCTTCCTCCTTTTGCAGTACTATCATTGGTAATTATTACCTAGATCCATTAATTTGTTAGGGGTAGCAAAAATGGTGCCATTCTATGTTTTTATTCTTTTCTCATTTATTGGCTGGAATATGTCTATAAAATAATTTTCTTTTCATAACTATTGGTTATTCTGAAAGTACAGTTTTTATAGGAAGGACATGGTAACCACTTTAACAGTCTTCAAAAAATTGATCACCTAGTATTCTTAAAAGGTGGCCACTAAGAGTTTTAAATTTTGTTTGGATTTTACTCTATATTATATTTGGTGTTGTATTATCATATTTGTTTATTTTAAAAATTTTCTTTTTTCATATTTTTAAAACATGAATGATAAAGTATTATCACATTTTTTAAAAAACATGGCTGATATTAATGTGAATTGGCTTTCTCTGAGCACATATTACTTGATAGCAGTCAAATGATTAGAATAGTAGTGACGGCTGGGTGCGGTGGCTCACGCCTGTAATCTTAGCACTTTGGGAGGCCGAGGCGGGTGGATCATGAGGTCAAGAGATCGAGACCATCCTGGTCAACATGGTGAAACCCCTTCTCTACTAAAAATACAAAAAATCAGCTGGGCATGGTGGTGCGTGCCTGTAATCCCAGCTACTCAGGAGGCTGAGGCAGGAGAATTGCCTGAACTCAGGAGGTGGAGGTTGCGGTGAGCCGAGATCGCGCCATTGCACTCCAGCCTGGGTAACAAGCGAAAATCTTTGTCTCAAAAAAAAAAAAAAAAAGAAAAGTAGTGACTAGTTTATTTCATATTAATAGATATTATATTTTCTTGATTTAAGTCATACCTTGAATAAAATTTATATTTTGACTTTCATAATTCACAATTCTAGACTTGCTAGTAATCCTTTCATACTAATGATTAGAAGGCAGTTCTGTGTCCCTACTTCCCGCTTCCTATCAGATATCAGACATTTAGCATCTCTTTCCCAATTCAAAATTTTTGGAAAGTCATTGACTCAACTAGACATGTCTTCTACATTTCATGTTAGAGAAGGTTATGTTAGTTATAGATGAAGTGATACTGGTACGATCAGGTATATTATGGAAAAAATAGATTTTGTAGTATGACATGAAACTCTATTACAAAGATTCTTTGAGAACATGCTTTTCAAGTTTCAAATAGACTGTGATAGGGGCATAACCTAATTATAAGTCATGAGCTGCCACTTTACTGTTGTAAATTTCATTCACTTCTGTTAGTAAAAAATGTATTCTTCCTTTTACCCTGTCTTTCTAGATTGGTTTTATATTTCTCATGGATCTTATTCGAGCATTGAAATTGGAGTGAGATAAGTTTTTCTTGGTATTAACTTAAGAATTCATTGAAATTGCTTTTGTTCGTTATAGGAAATCTACTTTCTTCAATGTATTAACCAATAGTCAGGCTTCAGCAGAAAACTTCCCATTCTGCACTATTGATCCTAATGAGAGCAGAGTACCTGTGCCAGATGAAAGGTTTGACTTTCTTTGCCAGTACCACAAACCAGCAAGGTAAGAGATATTTAATGCTATTTTTTACTTGGTGGCTCTGTGTGGACTGAGCAGATATGTTTGTGATATGTTTAAAGTCATGTAGAAGAGTTTTTCTTTCAAAATGAATGTAACATTATTGTTTTGGGTGATTATAAAAGTAATGCAGAGTATGGAGAAGGGTGTAGAAGGGCCTACTCAGTTGTTAACATTAAAGTTATTTTTTTCTGGGGAGTATGAAGTAGAGGAGTAATTAGTCTGTATTTTGTGATCTTACTCATATAAAATTATATGTTTGTTTATATGCATAGAAAAATGTATGAAATGAAGATCATAGACTGATGATTATCTCTGGCTAGTGGAATTTTTAGGTGATTTTTACTTTATTCTTATATTCCTCTATGTTTGAATTTTTTACAATAAGCATGTATTATATCTTTAATTAGAAAACATAGGTAAAACTGTTTGATCAAGAAAAAAGATAGTTTAAATTCGTTGCAGGAAATTCAGACAGTAGGAAAATGTATAATGAGAGGAGTGAAAACCAGCTCTACTTCCTCTACTTTGATGTAACAGTTGTAAATACTTTGGGGATATATCCTTCCATAATTTCCCAACTATGTGCACACTTATTTACAGAAATAGGATACTTGTTTTACTTGAGATATTATTAATATCTTTCTGGATTAAACAATACAGACTTAAATAATAATTTCTAATATATTTACTGTTGTATTATATGAATGTAGCACAGTTTACCGTTTGCTTATTGAAAATTTAGTTTGTTTTTCACTTTTTACTATTTTTAATGTCCTGATAAATCCCAAGTTCCTGTCTCATGTCCTGAACTCGGCAGAACTCCAGATTTGTATCTCTAACTGCCTTTTTAATATTGACACTTGGATGTCTGAATAGGAGCCTTAGACTTGACATGTCCAAAATGACCTCTTGATTTCACCTTCTTGAACCAAATTCTTCTTCAAGACTGCCATAACTCAATAAATATCACTATCGTTTCCTTAGTTGCTTAAATCAGTGCCCACAATTTATCTTTGATTCTTCTCTCCCCTCACCCATATCCAGTCTATCAGCAATTTTTGCGAGTTCTAACTACAAATTATGTACTGAACTCATTCACTTTTCCCACTTTCACTTACTAGTTGTAGCATCCATTGATTTTTTTTTTTTTTTTTTTTGATGAATTCATTTTTACTATGTGGATTCTTACATGGTGATTTTGTAATTTTATTATTCCTCCTTCATTTGTTAATATTGTACTGAAGGAAGAGCTTTCTCATCTTCATGTATTTATTCAGATTAGTGTTATTTAATTGGTTTTAATCTGTCACAAACATTGATTTGATGCTCAAATTATATCCCTCAGATTGGCTCCTCAGCCTGACTTCAGTGTCTTGATTTCACTGTCTTTTCTAAAACCTTTTTATTTTTAAATGATTTTAAATTTATATAAAAGCTGCAAAAGTACATGAGTGCTTATATACCCTTGTATATCCAGATTCTTTGAACCTTTGAGAATAAGTTATAGACATGATGCCATGTTATACTTTAATTCTTTAGTTTGCATTTACTAAATACAAAGACATCCTCCCACATAACCATAGGAAACCATCAAAATCAGGATGGTTTACTATGGGATTAACACTGATCCCATATTACCATCTTGTTCATAGACTTTAGTTAGATTTTTTTCAGTTGTTCCAATAATATGCTTTCTTGCATCTAAAGTAGGATCATGTGTTTGTTCAGTTTTTTGTTTTTTTTTTTTTCCTTTCTTTTCTTTTTAAAATAGAGATGGGGTCTTGCTATGTTGCACCAGGGTGGTCTTGAACTCTTGGCCTCAAGCACTCCTCCAGTACCAGCCTCCCAAAATGGTGGGATTATAGGCGGGAACTACTGTACCTGGCCTTCTTTGTTTTTTGTTTTTTAAGGCAGAATCTTGCTGTGTTGCCCAGGCTGGAGTACAGTGCTGTGATCATAGCTCACTGTAGCCTCAAACCCCTGGACATAGTCAGATGATTCTCTTATCTCAGCCCCCTGAGTAGCTGGGACTGCAGGCACATGCCACTGTGCCTGGCTAATTTTTAAACGTTTTGTAGAGTTGGGGTCTTGCCATTTAGGCTGGTTTGAACTCCTGGCTCAAGTAATCCTCCTGTCTTGGCCCGCCAAAGCCACGCCCAGCCCCACTAGCCTGTTTCTATTGAAGAATATTTATAAATATTTTTGGTAGTCTGTGTTCATTATAGCATAGTGATTAAAAAGATTTTTAACATCATTTAAGTCTCGTGAGTTTTAAAGTATTGTTTTATTCTGAAAGCATTTTGTTCAAGTAGTCATGAAATCTTTGGTGTAATACATCAGAAATGTTGGAATTAATTCTCAAGTTTTAATTTTTTGAGATATTATATTAGTTTAAACCTTATCCTAGCCATAAATCACAAATCAGAATTGAGAAGCTCATTTTCATAGAAAATAAAATCTCAGAGCTGAAGATCTTCCTGTCTAGTTTCCTCATAAAAAGAAACTTGAAGCCTAAAAAGATGAAATAATTTGTTCATGGTCACACTTATAGTTATGTCAACCAGAAATAGAACTCAAGGCTTCTCACTTCAAATTTAGTGTCATTCTACCCATATGCATGCTACTTACTGTACTTCTGCATTAGTCCATTTTGCATTGCTATAAAGGATTACCCAAGACTGAGTAATTTATAAAGAGCATAGATTTATTTGGCTCATGGCTCTGCAGGCCATACATGCACAGCACCAGCATCAGTTTGGCTTCTGGCGAGGTCTCAGGAAGCTTTATCTCATGGCCAGGAGACGAAAAGAAGAGTAGATGTGTCACATGGAGAAAAGGGGAGCAAGAGATTGAGGAGAGAGGCACCGGACTCTTTTAAACAACCCGCTGTCCGGTGAACTAACAGAGCAATAACTCACTCATTACTGTGGGGAGGGCACCAAGACATTTATGAGGGATCCGCCCCTGTGACCCAAACACCTCCCACCAGGCCCCACCTCCACCATTGGGGATCACATTTCAACATAAGGTTTGGAGGTGACAGAACATCCAAACTATCTCAATCTCATATTTGTCATATGGGTGGTTTTAGTTGTTAGAAATATCATTTAGGATGAATTTGGTTGCACTTAACACAATGGCTTAAAGAGCTGAGTAACAGGTAGCGCAGTGTTTAGCTCAGCAATATCATCAAGAGCCTGGCTTCTTTCTCCCTTCAGCTCACTTTATTAGCTTGATCATAAGGTTATCTTCCCCTTGTGGTCACAGGATGGAACTATATACTTTCTCATCCATGTTCAGAGTGAAACGGGATTGCTTCTAGTTCTCCTGGAAGATTGATGAGGTTCTATTAAAGAGCCTCCTAGACCCCCTCCAGTAAACCTCTCCTTAAGTCTTTTCATTTCTCTTTGTTGTTTTTTTTTTGTTTTTTTTTTTTTG